ATAATTGATATTATGAATTAAGCATAGTTAATTAACCTTTCGGTTTCCTTGGATATAAGCCATGTATCAAAAGAAAAAAGAAAAAGAAAAACAAGCGTATTGATTTGATATTTCAAAAAATAAAAGACAATTATCATTTCTAATATTAGAGAGAGAAATTACCTATTTTTTTCATGTTGGTTATAGTAAAATACAATTAGAAGTGAAAAAAAACAAACAAATAAATCAATACATCGGTATAAAGAAAATATAAGATTATTTTTCGGTATTTATCATTGTACTCTATGAAAACAAAAACAAACATTTTGATTTTCTATTGAAATCATGAGTCAATTGAAGCTGGGCCACCATGGAAAACCTGAAAGCACTGGACGGCCGTTTCATCCTAGTATGGGACTCATCAGCAGTGCTCATCCACGATCCCGCACCCCGTGAGATTCGAACCCAGGATCTGTCAGCCGTGACCAGTGGAGCTAATCCGTGTCGGGTAGAAACAGGTATCTACCTCAGTGCGATGGAAGATGGTCGCTCAATTTCGTGGATTGGTTAAGGTAAGACATTAACACCATTGGATGCCAGCTCAGTGGTCTAGTTGGTTAGGCGCCTGGCGCGAGACTGATAGATCCTGGTTTCGAATCTCGCGAGATGCGGTTGTGGATACGCATCGCTGAGGAGTCCCACACTAGGACGAAACAGCCGTCCAGTGCTTCTAAGTTTTCCATGGTGGTCTAGCTTCAATTGACACATGATTTCAATCAAAAACTTGACAATCTCCAAAACACCTAAACTGATTTTAATTTTCAACTGATTTTAATGAATAACATGAACAATCTAAAACATTGAATCATATCTACAAACTCCATGTTAATGAACTAGTAATTTTAATTATTGTAATTTTTATTACTTAATGAAATTGTCAGTAATGATATTTCTATAGTTGAGATCATGAGTCAGTTGAATCTAGACCACCATGGAAAACCTGGAAGCACTGGACGACTGTTTCGTCCTATTGTGGGATTCGTCAGCGATGCGTATCCACAAACCTGTCTTGCGATATTCGAATCCAGGACCGATCAGTCTTGCTCGCGAACGCTTAAACACTAGACCACTGAGCTGACCGGCATCCAACGGTGTTAATGTCTCACTTCAACTCATCCACGAAAATGAGCGACATATCAACCATTGTCATCAGTGAGTTACTATCTCACAACAGACCCGGTTGAACTCTAGCGGTTAGTACTTCTCACTAAAACTCCAGGAAATACCTCTTGAAGTCAGTCACTAGTGAGCATATATTGATTAATATCAGAAGGGGTTTTGTGGTTAATATAGTAAGTTGAGATGATGAGTCAATTGAAGCTAGACCATGTGTCGTTCAATTTCGTAGTTTAATTTAAGTTAGACATTAGCACCGTTGGATGACGATCAGCTCAGTGGTCTACTAGTTGAGCGCTCGCTCGCGAGACTGATAGGTTCTGGTTTCGAATCTCGCGAGGCGATGTCGTGAATGCTCACCGCTGAGAAGTCCCGCATAGGACGGAACGGTCGTCCAGTGTTTCCAGGTGTTCAAGCTTTAACGAACTCATGATCTCAACTATTGAAATTATTATAACATCCACGAAAATCTCTTCTGATAATAATATTTTTGTGTAATATGTCCAATAAATGGAATTATTCACATGTTTGAATTTTAAACAGTGATTAAATTATCAATATCAATGTGAATATTATTTCGTTTGATATTTTGTTTAGACTAAATTACTATCTTGAAAAAAAATGTTAATAATCCAGGTTTATTAAAGTGAGAGAAAAAAAATAAAGTTCCTGTCTTCATATATGATTATTTTATTCATACTAATGTTTATCTTATATCACTCAATGAACTAAATCATGGAACATATAAATTTATATGAAACCAGACTAATGAATAGTTGATCATTTATGTTAATATTCTCTAAATGTTTTAACTATACTACGATTAAGTAGCTTAAGTTAGGTGTATTTTCAAAATATACAAGTATTATATCTAATTTTCCTATATTCATTAATTGAGAAGAATTTATGTAAGTTTGGTATAATCTGTCGGTTGACCGTGATCATTTCAAATAAAATATCATGTTACTATCATGTTATTATTGATTGATTGAAACTAATTAGTCTTGTTGATGAACCATATTTTAAAATTATCTAACTAGTAAATCATTGTTTGTATTGTATTTTCTGAGTTTACTGTTTTAACTGTGATGTTTTGATTAATATTGTGCATGATATCATCACTGCTTACTTCAATTAGAAGACGGTTGTTTATCAAGAGAGTTCATGTAATTGTTTTTTTTTCTAGTAGTATTAACAACCATCGTTGCCATACTATACATTTATTCGTTTAATATCTTTTTATAGATTCAGATCTCTACTGGATTCGGTATTAACAATTGATCTGTATCATTCACAGAATAAAACGTTACATGTATTAATGTTTGTACAAATTCATTTAAACTAACAAAGTTAGTGAATCAAAAAACGTAGAGAGTTACTTATTATTAGGCAAATAAAAATAAATATGTGTTAAATGGACATAGCTTGTGATGTGTTAGTTATATCATGTAATAAGTAATATCTAATCCAAGTTAATTATTTGATTTAGTAAAAGATAAAATAAAGTTTGATTTGTCAACATAAATATGCAATTATGGTATTAATAGCTTGTTAAAGTGATAACTAATGAAATGAGAACAAGGAGTGGTCTCAGTAGTAGTGTACTTTATGAACAACAATTATTGTTGTATCTGAACAGTTTGTCAGGAAATTCAAAGTCAAACTGTAACAGTAATTTATAGCCACGACTGTAAACATTAAAGAGATTATAAAGAAGTTTATTTCATGGCAGAAATTATTTGCAAATGAAGTCTATTTTACGATCTTCACAACCTAACCAGCTACAGAATGTGTGTTGAACGATAACAGGAGTTGGTTAGACAGTAGGCATTTGATTCCTTAGTTTATGTTGAGAAACAATAATGAAAAGTTGGAAGTGTTTTGCTTTCTTTTAAAAAAATTAGATTTTCAAATACATCTAAAGGTAAAGTCAACGGAACAATTTTTGGAAGGATGCGCTATGGTTTAGGTGTGAGATTTCTTGTGCAGCAACCAAATGTTTTTTAGTGGTATACAATTAAAGTATAAACTAAATGTCTCTTACGGCTGATTCTTTTTACTTAATTTAAATCATAGATTGATCTAAGATAACCGTTTAAAACCAGAGAGCACTGGACACTTATTCAGTCCTAACGTGAGACTTCTTAATAGTGAACATCTTCAGCCTTACGGAGATGAGATGCAGGACCCTAAGACTGAATCACTCAATTAATGTAGCCTTTTTTATTAATTATATATTCAAATGGTCAGCATGATTAAGACTTTAAATGTTTATTGATTATTCAGTTTTTAATGTACATATGTGATCATGAAAATGTTTCAAGACATTATCGTTTCAAAACTAGTTTACCTGGGTTATCACAAATGGATGGGGTTTATATTATTTTCAAATAATATTATGTTCCTTTCTTATATGTTAATTACTATTTTATAAGAATATAATCGTTCTAAACAGATGATGGTGGCTAGCAGTGAAATCCAGAACGCGAGTTTTGTCCTATTTGGGACTCGTCAGCTGGATGTGCCTGCATCCCAAAGTTGATGTACGCACTTGATAAACTATAAGATATGTTCACAACAATCTGAAATAGTTAATACTTGTTGTGACATGTTTTAAATGCTTATGTTAGTTGACAGATATTTCTTGATCATATCCATCGTTGTCATTGACTAATTTTTACTAACTTCGTATTTTCATCGATTGACACCCATAGAATGTAATTTAAAAACATTAGAGAATAGAATTCTATTCATTTTTCGATTAAGTAACTCAATATAACATGAAATTTTCAATACAAGTCATATGATATGTTGTTCAGATAAATTCAACATTACGGTTATTCTTCCCTGGATAATAACGGATGGGAATCGTTTTCTGTAGTACTACTGTTTTGATTTTCCAGTTTTGAAAGTGTGCTTAGTAAACCTTTTATTGTTTTAATGTGTGGTACTTTTTAATGTAATGAAATTGCTTATTTTACAAAAAGCAAGCATTCGATTGGTGGAGGTCATATAGTACACTTTGAAATTATTCAACTTATGGTGAATAACACAGTACAGATATTATGTTCTTATTTTTTGGTCATTTTGTTTTGCTCATAAGTCGTAAACTGAAGCACGTGAAAATAAGCTCCGTTTTTTTTTAAATAGGGCTAATTAGTACTTACAAACTAAGTTTCTTTAGTGTAAAGTTATTTTTATGAGCTCATGTTTACAAATCTACTCTACTCTACTCAAAATATCGTTACATGAACACCATAATTAAGACCGAAGCTAAACTGAATTTAAAATATTAAAGTTGAACTATTTTCTGTAATATTTAGACAAAATGACACTAATTAATTAATTAATGAGAACGAATTCTTTGTTTGAATTTATGATAATGAACAAGTACACGACGAATAAAAACCGACTGATTACCAAATAGTGACCACTGCTATATTTGTATAGATCGTTAGTGTTCTTCGTACTCCATCTTACTTTCATTGTAGTTTCTCCTTGGTTCTAATCTACTGTGTAAGATTATTTTGACCAAAACTCCCAGTAAGCTTTGTTCACAAATGACAACTATCAAAAAACATCGTTCCAAGATTTTTTTGCCAACCACTTCCACCGCCTTACAGGTACTCTTTATGTAAATAGTCAAACAGTAATTAACTGCCGCAATTAGATTCTTCATATGAAACCAGTAAATCTTAAGGCGAAGTGAAAAACTATCAATGTACATTTAATTTAAAGGTTTTGTCAGATTATTTATTAATAATCAATTACTATTGAAATAATAATACCTTTTCATAAACAGTATTTCTAATAATTCACTATTGTTTTTTTTTATTTCCTGTTAGAAGCTACAGCTGAACATGATTTGAGTAGTCTCCTTAGAGAACTTGAAGTGGTTGAAGAGAAAATGAAAGAATTAGAACAGGAAAATAATCAGTTCACTCGAGTAAGGAATGATATACTTTTTTTGGCTTTATCGTTTTTAGATAGTTATTTAATTATTGAATGTTATATGAATAAATGTCAAACTATTATCAAGAATCAGAACATATTATTAGTTGATGAAAAATTTCCATTATATTAAAAACACAATTGTATGAACGAAGAATATTCTTTTCAATAATTTCTCATCAGGTTCTACAATTATAAATCCAGATTAATAATCCATAAAATTGGCCAGATTTAAGGCAAAATACATCATCATTTGGAAATTGTAATATATGAATCAGGAATTGTTTGTTATATAAATAAAATCGTTAATGTTGGGGCTGACTAATACGAAGTGTTAACTTGAATCAGTTTATAAGCGAAATGAAATTGTGAGATAAATTATCAGAATAATTATTAGTAATTATTGAATATCTAATTTCACTAGGTACCTCAATATATTGTAGCTTCAAAATTCACTTCGTTAATTTATTTGTGGTACAGAACGTTGATAGACAAATAACTAAGCCTAAATTAATGTAATACTGAAAAATACGAAGAATAAGTTATAGTATGTAACAAATCACTCGACAACGGAACTTTCATGACTGATATTTCGCTAAAACCAAGTATTTAAAGTTTATCTCTGAAAGTTTACTTTAACTGATGCTTAAAACTGTTAACTCGACTTGAGAAGAGTTGTTTAGTCTTCTTTTCTCACTTATTAGTTAGCCTGTATAATAACAACACGTTTTAAGACTACTTTGAAATATACTGCTTTCGAATTCGGATGTGAACATAAATACAAGGGTTCAAATACATCCAGATGACAAATCCAGAATTGAATGAAACGCCCATTCTGGATTCCACTGTTAAACATTATTCAACTTTACAATATATAACGACAATCTCAAAATGAACATATATTTAGTAGGTTTATTAACATCAAAAGATGAGAATATGTATATTCTTGAGTTTAGGTACCTTTTTTTCGTTGTTTTTATTCTAACCGACCAATTATAGTCACTGTCAACAGGTATAATATTACAATTCAAATAAAATGTCAATTTTCTTTGTTTAATAATTAAAGTGGATACTTTAATTACTATCTACTAAGTGATCTTCAATTCAATAATATGTAAAAGAATTCCACTTACCATATTCCTAGTTAACTGATACAGAGAGATATTAAAAAAGATTTGTATATATTATTACATTAATTCTAAGCTAGTTTTGATAGGTAATTATTTTGTTTAATGTAGCCCAGTTTCAATTTCATCTAATGACTCAGTTATAAAATGAAAAACAAATAGAATTATAGAGTGAACTGAAGATTTTTGTTTTATAATAATTTGTACTATTGATTATTTATACCTACATGCACCATTGATAAAGATATCAGGCAAACGATGAATCGATTTGTTTTATTTCATTGATGTATAAATTTACTTGAACTAGTTATTATTTAGTATAACTGAATGTAACAGTTTCGTTGTTTTCAATGTTTTAATTGAATTATTTGATCCAGTCACTTTAGTGGTTGAAGAAAATATCTAGTACTTGTTCAATGAGCCGAAATTTCAAACTCCTCTTTATTTATTTAGGTTTAGACTGCTAATTATAATAACACTAACCTTCATACATATAAATGGATCTCAGAACTGAGTACCTAAGATAGTAGATTAAGAAAATAAAAATTCTAGTTTTATACTGTGCAATAAACAGCTGGAACAAATATCAAACTTGTAAGGAAAGTCAGCAAGAAGGAAAGTTGGCTGTGACAAATTAGAAAATCATCAGTAGTGAAAATCATCCGACGAATAAATGGAATAGGAAAGGAATAAAAAGTGGAGGATTATTCTTCCCGATAGAACTCAGCTTTGAGTACAGTCATCTAGTGCTTTCAACGAACAGTGCGTCAATAACTCTCACTTGTAATTACTTTCTAAATGCGATTTTCGTATTTAAATATGTGAATTAGAACTAATTTCATCAAGGGAGCTCTTAAAGAATCATCAAGTTTGTATTGTGAGTTGTACTGCACAAATACTCTTTTACAAACCTTTATTACATTATCACTTTTCTGATAAATATTTTTGTGTTCTTTATATTCTATTTCTTACTTTGACTAAAATTAAAAAGATTGTTATCCTTAGTACAAAGACACATATATTTCCACAAAACCTGATTCTGACATGAAGTATGGAGTAATCAATATTCATCATCTTCATAAGTAGTTTACAAAAAAATGTTACATTTACATTCTACAAGTAATTCAAGGTTAAAATTCTTTCTTTGTTTGTTACCATGTCATCTCTCACTTTTTGCACAACTCATACAGCCAAAAGAGATATTCCGACTACTTTGAATTCTAATTGATGGTTAATTCAAGTTGATAAAATGAGTCAGAATAGTTATTTTTAATTTTTGATTATTTTAATTATAACTGATGAGAGATATGTTTGTCATTGCTCTTTCTCTCGAACTAAAAAAACAAAATTACTCGTCACTATTATTCCTTTAGTAGTAAACACACAGACAACAACTAAGATAGACATGCATCATACCAATTGATTTGTCTAGAATCTTTATTAAGTTTACAAAACTAATAGTCAAGTGATCATGTGCTTTAATGACAAACATACCTCATAGGTTTATGTCTTTATGCAAATTTCATATCGGTTAGCTCTAATGTGGTTTTTGTAATGTGTGATATTCGGTTGTTCATGCTAAATTTTCACCAGTCCATCAAAATTTCTATCGATTTCTGTTTAGAATCAACTGGATTGTTGGATAACAGGAAATTTACAATTTCATTTATGAGTTCACTTCTCTAGATGCAGCTTTACTATGCATAGTAATTATTGTATTTAATAGCCTAATAATATGTAGCTATATACTTCCGCATATCTGTAATTTAGTTACAGATATGATTATATCTACGGTGTTCAAATGATATAACCATGTAGAATTCCAATTAAATTGCTTTAAAATAATATGATCTAAACATTATTTATTAAGTCATTTTGTATTAGTTGTTTAGCTATTCCCATTGATGTTTAGGACTGCAATTGATCAGTCTCTTATTGACATCTTTGAATCCTGTGCGGATTGTCTCGATATTGCCTCAAATCACAAGCATTATAAGCAGAGATAGATAGTCGCTAGTAGCTACATCCAGCTGACAAGTGCTAAATAGGACGAAACACATATCGTGTATTCCACTACTAGCTACCATTCATCTCTGCTTATGAATATTTATTAATGTTATAAATATTTTAAAAAAACTTTTCATTCACAAACTGGTGTTATCTGGCAAATCACTGTTAAACAGAACTTATGAAATATTTAATTTGTCTCAGATTGGGACTTTTTAATTCTAACTAATGACCATTATAATTACAGAAGTCAATATCAAACTTTAAAGGATCTCTGTTCTTGAATAGAGCAAATTTCATTTGATTAATAATTCACTAGGTGAGTAAATGACATTATTTCGAACAGATATAAATACAATCAAACTTATATAATTTTCAAAAGGATAAGGAGAATGAACTTCATAACAATATAGTTTCAACATTTAGTCTTAATCTGATATCAGTTGGAGAAAATTTAGAGACCGCAGAGCATAACTTAAGACTCCATGACTCAATTTTACTCACCACTCCACTTAACATTGAACCTAGAGCCTACGGGAGTTACAAAAAATGCGTTACTTCAAAAGTAATAAATCTAAATTCAATGATTCATAATCTTAATATCAATCAATTATTTTTAAACTTTTACTTATATTGTAAAGCTTTAATATCAGTAAAATAAATTCTGTCGAAATAGAAATAGGAATACAGTTTTATTTTCATAAATCACAAACCTGAATAATGCATACTATCGAACATGATCTACTTTTAATTTCAGCGGTACAGTTTAGCTTCATCCTCTAATGGCAAACATCCAGCATATCCTGTTTCTAACAAATCTACAGTAGAAACTTCAAACTCATCAGTAATAGTTAGTGATCAACCTGTAATTTCTTTATCAGTGCCTGATAGAAAAGAAAATTTAAACAAAAGTAATGGCTATATTTGTGCAGAATGGGCAGCTAAATTAAATCATGATGAATATGATCATGATAATAATAGTAGATTTTTAAAGAAAGATTCCTCACCTTCACCCCCTCCACCGCCGCCTGCATTTCTTGGAGCTGGTGATGCATGTGCAAGCCCTACTAATTCTCCGCCTAGTTCTTCATATTCCCCTCATTCACAATTAATCCAACAATCAAATGGTCACTCACAAATACCGCAAAAATCTCCACAACAAAATCAACTTAGAAGTGATGAATCATGGTCTGTTATTCATGCGAACAACCCAATGAATGGAATGAAACCACATCATTTAAACTCATATGATGGTGGTTTAAATGACAAAGATAGAGAAACAATTCAATCACAAAGGACAACTCAAGTTCCAGTTTATAATTCTCAATCGTATCAAAATTTTGATACTCAGAAACAGCTTATTAATGAACTAAGAGGATTATATCGAGTAAGGTTATTGATTTCATTGTATTATTTATCTTTATACTGAAAACAAATTTTGTCTGAAAGATTATCTTTAAAGTGATTAGCATACTATATAAGTTTGCTTTTGATGATTAATGAATTGAAAAAAATACAAAATTACCTGTATGAATCATTTGATGTTGACAAACATTTATTCGATGTCCTCAAGAACTGTTCTTTTCTGCATTTATCATGTCTGTCTTGAGATATAGAGAAAACAATTAAAAAAGAACTTTGTTTATATATATATATATATATATATATATATATATATATATATATATATATATATATATATATATATATATATATATATATATACAAGGAAAATGCCAGTATGGATCTTTAGGGAGAGCAAAACAGAAACAACATTTGGGTAATAAATCAAGGGAGTGAAGTAATCTTTTAATTTATTTATTAATCACTTGTAATAGATTTACTAGGAGATAGAACTCCAGATTAATAAAATGTAATGGATATAGATAAGAACACCACATTTTACTCAGTCTTTCTATATAGTAGTCTTTGACAGTTATTTACTGAATTAACTCATTAATTATAGAATCACATAGAAATCTAGCTTACAGTGGATAGTGATATTAGTTCAAAAAATGAAATCATTGTATAAATCTCATTCAAGCCTCACATAATCTAATTCAGTATGAGTTATGTATTTCAATATTTAAAAAAATGTTGACTTGAAGATCATAGCATAAACGCCACATCTACCCACCTCCTGAATTCAATTAGGAAAACAAATGTTAACTTACAACGTTATGGCTGAAATGAGCTAGTTTACTAATTAACTAACCAACAAGATATTCATCAGTATGGGTTTATAGTAATTGTTGAATTTCATCGAAATCACAAAACAATCTAAGCTAGACAACCATTGATAACCATGAAACATTAACAGTTGTTTTGTCTTAATACAAGGTTTCTCATCAATGGGCACCCGCCACCCCGAAAATAGAAACCAAACATAGGTAGGACCTTTGGTTTCGTGCACAAACGTTTAAATTCTGGACTGCCAAGACAAGAGTTTTCAAAAACTTTCTATTAAGAAAATGTAGATAACATCAAGAGTAATCGTTTGTTTCTGCTTGAAAAGAGCTTTTTTATCATAGTGATCAATAAACTTGCTCTAATAAATTTATGGCAGTACTTCACAAGTGAAATTTGACATTTAAACTCTTACTATAAACACTTTTTTTAAATATCAGTTATTTTTAAAGATATAAAGAAAGTTGAAACCTTTGGTCTATCTTGTCAGAATAAAGATTTTGTTCGTTTGAGAATGGAATGTGTTATTGATGTATTTCTAACATATCTATTCTTTTATTTAGAACTCAAGTACAAAAACGCAACCAAAATATTCTTTACAACCCAATGTAGAGAAACAGATATACTATCCAAATACTTCTCCAATTTCATCTCCTACACCAAATTACCAAGCAAATTCAAATTCTTATATCCCTACATCATCATCTGATCAACATGAAATCATCAAAACTAATATTAATAACAATAATAATAACTCGTATGTTCGTTCTAAGCGTTCCGAAGTTTACCGCTCATATGGATCATTAACCACTAATCAAGGTACAAACAACTCTGATCCAGGAATAATGAAAGAACGTGACTGTGAAGAAAATATTACAGTCAATGAAACTGGCTGTTGGACACCAGATCAAGTTTTTACACGACGTGATTGCCTTAAAGCTAATTCATTGGCCGCAAGGGGTGGTAGCGATGGTTTATCAAATTCAATGAGTCCAGAAAGCTCATTATCAGATAAATCAGTAAGTTTTTATATCTTTGATGTGATCAATATACAAAACAATTTTATTTGACATAATTTTAGGGTGTTGTATGAGGTAGCTCAGTGGACAAAATACCAAGCTTTCATGCAGTACGTCAGAGATTCAGACCGCGCATAATTGATTATGATGTGTCCGGCTAGGTAGTATCACTAACTTCGACAAAAATTTTGTCACTCATAGCTGACTATGCGACCCTGTACTTGGTAAATGAGTTGAAATTTTAAAGTTTAGTAAAATTTGTAAAACATCTGCTACAGAAGTTTCGAAAAAATTAGATAAGACTACAAGATTCCTTTTTAAATATACCATTAACAACCTTTTTAGAGTGTTCAAACTTCCTTTGTTCATAATGATATCGGAAAAATTAATCCGAGAATATTATGAATCTTAGCTGAAATTAAGTAATAATTATTCGATTAAATGAATAACGGTATATTATTTGTCCTCCGTAAACACCATTTAAGCTTTGAGTTAAAAACATGACAGACAGTAAACACATTTTATCCACAAACTTTGAATCGTATCACCACTCAAGGTATAAGTTCATTCATTTAGTTTTAACAAATCATGTTTTAAAAAACAGTGATATTTAAAACATGGTTCAGGTGGAAGTTTAACAATCAGGAACTTGTCATCTATTAAATAGTAAATATACTTTATAAGGTCTCAGGCAAAAGTTACACCTTTATTTAGGACTTGACAAAATATCATACCAAATGTACTTTATAATTTAAGTGAATTAAAGTTTGTTTTATCAAGTGCATTGGCTGTCTGTTCTTCCATATTCAATGATCAAAAGTAGATTCTTAATTTAGTAATGGTGGATTTTGTGATTTCTTTACTCTGAACCATGATATAACTCATTGTTGTTTATTGTTGTGATCATAGGGTTCAGAAGCTAATGAACTAAACCGTCTTCATATGTCAGACAGTTCAGAGAGTAATCATGCTAACAAAGTGAGTTCAAATTAGTTTACTACCGATTTAAAAATTATGTGTGTGCCGTAGCAAATGCATTTTTCATTATGTGATCTGTCATGGTCCAATTTATATTCTTGGTTATTTGTCGGGGATATAAACTTTATGGTACACAACTCACTTTAAACTAATCAGTAATTTTAATTCAATCTTAATCGAAATATTCCTAATCCCATCAGTAAATGTGAAATGAAGTTTGTAACTTTAGGTGAAGGCAGTCAGTGCGAAACCCTGCTTCATTTAGATTTCATACTACTTGGTTTTTGTCAGTAGGTTGTATCTATACTACTGATGAAACTCATTCTACTTGTAAGATTTTAGCCCACATCGCTTAGCTTCGCAGTCCGATACGTTATTAATAACCCATTTGTGGTGCAACTGACGTCTTATAGCATTAAGGTATTTACACTGAGTGATCATGGAGTATTGGTCGGTGCACTGTTTGACTGGTCCTTCAGTACGAATCGAATTTTATTCCATCAAGATTTCAGTTAGATCTTAATGTCAACTACCAAACAGCACGATATGAGACCTAAAGTTCCTTGCTGTTTACCTCGAACCGCCTTCCATTGAAACATATTATTGAGTAATGACCACATTACTACTTGATTGACAGAATTCAATGAGCACTAAAAGATTAGACAAAAATGACGTTTGGTATTATTCATTAACTTTAGATACATTACATTAGTATCTGTATCCATTTTCAATAAAGTTCCAAGTGTAATAATTTATTAAAAACATATGTGTATGATCACAATATGTTAACGACTAAATAACAGCTTATCTATCCATCTTCCTCTCTTTCTCTTTCTCTCTCTCTCTCTCTCTCTCTCTCTCTATATATATATATATATATATATATATATATATATATATATATATATATATATATATATATATTGTCTGAATAACAAATTAACAATAAAAATAATAAACACGATCATTCCAAATTATTGCTTCAGGCACACTCGTAAAGAAATGAGAAATAAATGTTTTATACAAAAAGAAGATAGAAAATTAAGTTTATTTCACTAAGTATTTGTTAAATTAAATCTTTAAGCATTTTGTCGATAAACAGAATATTCTCGACATAAACGCTTGATTGGTGAACATGGGAATAATTAAACATTTATACATGAAATAGATTTTATCAGAAGGGGTTTGTGGAGATTTTAGAAATTTCACAGGTTGAAATCATGAGTCAATTGAAGCTAGACCACCATGGAAAACCTGATGGATGTGTCACTCAATTTCGTGGATAAGTTGAAGTTAGACATTAACACTGTTGGATGCCGGATCAGTGGTCTAGTTGGTTAAGCGCCTGGAGCGAGACTGACAGGTCCTGGGTTCAAATCTCACGGGGTGCGGGATCGTGGATGCGCGTTGCTGAGGAGTCCCACACTAGGACGAAACGGTCGTCCAGTGCTTCCAGGTTTCCCATGGTGGTCTAGCTTCAATTGATTCATGATTTCAATCTGTGAAATTTAATACATTTGTATAAAACATACAGGTTGTAAAAGATTTATGACTATTTTCCTTTCAAATGTTTAAATAATAGTCTATTCTGGATAACATATTCCTGAAAATCTCTAAAAATTATATTTGATTCTTGTATCTTCCATCAAACATTTTTTTAAAAAATTTGTCAGACGTTTCATCCGTCATTAATCATACAAGATTGATATAGAAATTCCAAGTTTGCAATTCTCTATGATTAAGGATAAGGATTATACTCTGAAATTTATTGATATCATTACCAAGGTTTGATTTGGTAATTTCGAATAAATTGAGCATTGGGTAGATTGTTATAAATAAATAATATATTTGTAATATCCCAATGAGTAGAAAAATTAGATATTCTGACGTTTCGTGGCTTAGTGTAAGTCACTTCTTCAGAGAATTTGGTTGTTTATTCTCTGAAGAAGTGACTTACACTAAGCCACGAAACGTCAGAAAATCTAATTTTTCAAATATACAAATATACTATTTATTTATTCTGGAATTTATTGTTTATTAGTTAAAGCAGTTTATTTCAGTTATTTAAAGCTTTGTACTTGATCGATAAATGAATAGATTGACATAAATAAAGTTAAACTTGACATAAATATGTTTTATACAAATTAATCAAATTTTCGATGAACTTAAAGTTTAGGAAATAAAATCAGATGACCGGTAATGAAAGTCTGTTGTGTTAATTATAGGCTTCTCTAATCATACAATAACGACGTAAACACTAAACAACAGTTTCATTTTTTGAAGAATGATTCTGTCAGCAAGTTACGTAAACTGTTTTACTATAAAGAGTTGAAAATTTTCGACTACCTTCTATATCTTGGAACCTAATGATTCATCAAAACGTTTAATATGTAAACCGAAATTTTAGTTCTGAATTAAAGATTGGAGGGGAAAGTTTTTCACTAACTCAACCTTTTTGGTAACGCTTGATTTTCGCTCGGTCAAAACTACTATTTGAAATCAAAATGAGATAAACTAACATAACGTACTACCGGGCAATTTGTAAACGACTTAGATGAATACCTTTTAGTCACTGTTTGGTGATGCGGTTTTTTGACAACTTTTAATAGCAGTATAAATACCATTAATTTTAGTTTCGTTTTTTAGAAAGCGGCAAAAACCAAGCTTCCACTAAGCTTCATTATTAATAAGTTCTAAGTTATGAAACCAATAAATGCGCTTAAATGCTAAAACCCATCAATCAATTGTGAGGATATAAGACATTTTTATTGAAACTATAAATATCCAATTCCTTTTTCTTGTTGTATGTTCTACTATATCACTTTAGTGAGGCAATGAGTAGACATTAAAAAGTTTTTACTACTCAGTTATATTTCAATAATCAGTATTTTATTGAAATATTCAGTATGAAATATTGAGTATGTCTACATTTCTCACTAAGTTTGCTGTGATAAAGATATGACATAATGCAAGGAAGGAAACAGTTTAGTACAAATTCACAATTACTGGGATTGGTACACAAGGCAAACCAGAGAATATATAGTTTGACTACTTCTTTTAAAATCTTTTGTAAATTGAGGACAGTTAATACTATAAAGCAGTCAATATTGGACAGTTGGTTTGTCCTATATATAGGTGGAAATCAATGATCACATATAGATGATAGCCCGAAATCGTCACACTTCTTAATTAATACAATATAACTGAGTCAGTGAAAATAAGCTTACTGATTTACATTTTAAACTTTGACTAATTTTTCGTATATCTCAATCTTCGTATTTTTCAAAACATTTAATATCTCACTGATAAATTTAGGCTACGCACTCAGAAGACCACATTTGTCTTGCTTATTGTTCATTTCTCACATGTACTTTAACAAGTTAATATGTATGACCAGATTATGTAAAATGTGTTACTCACTAATATTCCGCATAGTTGTAATAAACCTCGTCTAACAGAATAGGATCCTAACTTCATAACAGGGTATACTAACGGAGTATAAATTAAAATATTATTAGCTGTCGGTTATGCATTGTGTAAAGATTACGAGAGCTATCTGTTACTTCAAATATAATAAAGTGGAATAAAGTTTAAACCTACGACTAGTTAGTACAAAATTTTGTAAAACATAATTCACTTATGAGCAGAGATGAATGCTAATTAGTAGGGAAATGAAGGACATGCGTCTCGTCCGAATTAGAGCTTGTCTGCTGGATGTACCTAGTTCATAATTCATTTGTCTTATTTGATTGTTACAAATATTTGAGACATCTGTACTTGTCGATTTTTAGGAGGATATTAGTTTCTTTCGCATTTTTATTTGCGAATTTAAACAACCAATCTGTTATCACTTTACAATAGTTGTAGAATAATCGGTATGGAATTGTGAAGATTATTAAGCTTTTGATTGAAGTCATGAACCGATTCATATCAGGCCACCAATGAAAACGTGGAAGCACTGGACGGCCATTTCGTGCTATTGTGGGATACCTCAGTGCTGCGCATCCACGTCCCGCGTACGCGATTTGAACTCAGGGCCATCGTTCTAGTGCACGAGCGCTTAACCTCCGGACCGCTGAGCCGACATCTAACGGTGTTGATGTCTAACATCAACCAACCTACGAAATTGCGCGACCATCTTCCATTGTACTGACGTAGATACCTGTCTCTACCTGACATGAATTAGCTCCATTAGAATATTTGAATTATTGTAGGGAATGAAGACTTAATGACTCAAAAATTAGAGGTTTAATTAATAGACTGATGTTCGAACGTCCAATAATTAAGTAGTATTTTAACCTATGCACAACCAATTTAACTTAAAGATGAGTAAATGAACATGTAGTTGTTAAATAAATTACATTTTTTCCCTTTCACTGAATTACTGCCATCGTTAAAAACACATTTATTGTTTGTTGAGAACCAGTTCATTGATTCGTGTTATTTCGACAAAAATATTTGCTGCTAATTATATCTACAGGTAATTATCAATTTAAAAACTAATTATTTATCATAGTTAGTATTAAATCTAGTCAAAAGTATTGTCAATTTCCTATGCTCTCGTCATCAAGGATTTCTACAGCTTACAGTAAATTCTAATTTCGTTTCTCCTCACTTGATTAATTTTTTTTTCAGAAAAAAGTAGACAAATTCAATTATTTTTTCCTTATTGTCTTTAAATGTCAAAACCATAAAACGTGTATTTTCGAAAATGTTTACATATAAAAAGTGAAACAACATATCAACAATATTAAAATAATAACTTTTCAAATGTTATTATCAATGATGATTTGATGAGAATAACTACAAATATTGTTCAACAAACACCCGCGAGCGGGATCAGGGATGCGCACTGCTGAGGAGTCCCACAATAGGACAGAACGGCCGTCCAGTGCTCCCAGGTTTTCAAAGGTGGTCTAACATCAATCGGTTCATGATCTCAATCCAAACTTGATAATCTGCACAACCCATATACTAGTAATTAACATGTGCTCAGTAGT